ACCCCCAGGCTAGAGCGGCTGGCTGCCACGCTGCCAGCCCAACCCCACAGCCACCTGAGCAGAGTGGGGCTGGAGGCCTGAAGCCCACCCCAGTGCTCTCGGCCTGCAGTCAGCACCCAGAGCTTTCTGCAGGCTGGGCTGAGGTCTAGCTGGTGTCTGGATTCCCACAAACAACGTATCTTTTTGGCTGAGACAGAACTGACGGCAGGGGACACCGTCAGGGGACAGCGGCACGGGGGCTGTGGGCGTCCCTTCCCTGACTCCTCCCGTCCTGGCAGGGCCTGCCCTCACCTGTTATAGAGGTGCTCCCAGACGTTCTGGGGCAGGATGACCACCAGGTCGTCGATGTAGTGGTACTTGTTGGGTGGGATGCCTGCGGAGGAAGTCACAGGGCACTGGGGGCTCAACCAGCCCACCCGGCGCCCACCGCAGGCCGGCGCCTCACCTCCGTGGGTGCACAGGAAGGTGTGGTTGGTGATGGGTCCCGGCTCCGCGAAGGTGTTGAACTTGTTGAGCCACTCACGGGACACGTAGAACCGTAGCAGGCTGGGCTCCCGCATGGCGGCCAGGGCCTCCACCTGCTGCCCGGCCTCCTCGCTGCTCTTCCTGGGGCAGGCGGGGATGCGTGAGCAGCCGGGCCTGGGCCGCCTTGCTGGGGCACTGGCCCCGCTGCGCCCAGGGGCGTGTGCAGGGCCACCCTAGCCTAGCATGCCTGGGGCCACTGCCCAGACATCTCCTGAATGCCTGGGGGACTCTGCATCTCAGCACCAGTGGCCCCCTACCAGGACCACATGCAGATCTCAGACTGACATCCCGGGTTCCCCTTGGTGGCCAAATCCTGCTACCGCCAACCCCCGGGCGCATGGGGCACGTGCAGTCCACAGGCCCAGCCGGCACACCTGTAGAAGAGCACGTAGGCCTCAGCGTTCTGCACCACCGTCTCGTGGACCTCGGTGACGTACTGGTCGTCAAACTCGTACCACTGCCCGTTGATCACGTTCTGACAGTAGGCGACGTAGTGACCACCTGCGGGGGCACAGCGGGCAGGTCACCAGCTCCCAGCAGCCGGGCCGGGGGGAGATGTGTGGGGACAGAGGGTGACTCACTGCCTGCCGTGCCATGGTGGCAGATGACCGAGAGGAGGTCGTAGGCGGTGATCTGGGACGTGCACTCCTTCGCAAGGAAGGGACGCAGGTCGAGGCCCTCGAGGGGGAAGGAGACGTGGCTGCTGATTTTGAACGAGTACATCACCTCGTGCCGAAAGCGCTTCAGGTGAATGCACAGGATCTGAGGGCACGGAGGAGGCGGTCATTCCAGAGGCTTCCGGTAGAAACGACCAGAAGCCTCGCGGCTGAGGCCTCACACAGGCCAGTCCTGCTGACGGGATCCCGCCCAGGCCTGCACTGTGGGAGCAGACACGCTCATTCTAAGTTGCACGGATCACTGTGGGCTCTGCCATGGAGCGGGATGGCCCTGCAGGAGGCCTGGACGGCACAGGAAGCTGGCTCTGCCCCCAGGCCGGCAAGCTTCCCATCCGGGCGCTGCCGACCACTTCCTCCAGCAGAGACTGGGGTCCTCTCCACTAGTTTCCCAGACCCACTCATGCTGTGGCGAACACGGAATCTTGGCCCACTCCCCACCGCTGCCTGGTTGTTGAAAAGTCCACTCATTTCTCCCATGGGGCACTCCAACAGGCCCTTCCTACCGCCATTGCATCATCTTGCTGGCCCCGTTCACCAGCACACGTGGGACGTGAACCCGTGCCCTCTCCTATGTGGGTCAGAGGCGCTCCTGCCACTGCTGCTGCTGCGGCGCCAGCCTGGCCTCCCACCCTCTTCGGCCCCGGCACCACGGCG